GGAAACTTGTGAACCTATACTTGACTACTTGTAGAAGTGAAACAATAAGCCTATACCTTAATCTTTGGAAGATGTTTTCATGCTACACTCTACCATGGTGATATATATTTGCTACGCCTAGATGACAAGTAACCAACACTGTACACATGGTTTATACTCTGCTATATCAACACATGCAGTATTCTCATGACTTTGTCACACAGCTAAAGAAAGTGGCTACATACTTATCAACTTACTTCTTCTACAACTTCAGTCCAAACATATCTAGCCAGCCTTTATCAGAGAAATTAACTGATGACTGTGAAATACCCGAGCCTATAATTGGTGGAGGACCAAATACTATACAGTCTAGGCAGAAGTGGACAGCTGAGAAGTTATTAAGATTTGATCCAACAGCTAATGTAGTTCAAAGCAAGACTTATTGCATTGCTGGTTATATTCAAGCTTTGGATAGGAATATATTCTCTATTGTCACTACAACTGCTATTCCTTTATCTGCTCTTTGTAACAGGTCTACCAATCAGATACTTGTTACAGTTGGCCAGAAACATAGTGCAGTTCAAGGTAAAAAACATATTGAATGAGTAACCATTGTAGCTAAGCTAACTCAACATATATGCACACAATGTCCAAAGTATCTAACTGTATATGAGCCAAATAAAGATACTAAGTCGGGTTTACAAAGAGGTAAAACACATTATCAAAGGCATTACAGTAAAGTACACCAAGAGAATTTCACACATGTCATGAGCAAAAGGCAAGTAGTGCAAACTATAAAGCTCAAAAGAAAGAATATAATCAAGCCAGATATAGAAGCCTGCAGTTTCCACCAAAGCCTCCAACAAAAGATCTGATTACTGACATTGTCAATGGCTTCTGTGAGCAAACATCATTTGTAAACCTTGAAGAATATGGTTATCCTGTATGTGGTGCATTAAAGTCAGTCAAAGAGTTGACATTACTTGAGGATATTGATCAAAGCCTGCTATTCTGATTACATGTCCCTGATATCACCCATTGTGAAAGGCACTCTACAATGCAACCAATTGTGGATATATCTGGCCCTGTACTTAATAAGGGCTGTAAGCATATATGCTCAAAATGTCATGATAGCTTGCAAGAACAAAGAATTCCTCACATAGCCTTAGCTAATGGTCTTTGGATTGATCAAGTCCCACTACAACTTCTAGGCTTATCATGGACTGAACAGCTGCTCATAGCCAAGGTCATCAGAAACTATTGTGTTGTGAGAGTATCCAAGTCAAAAATGCATAAAATGCGAGCAAACACTGTATGCCATGCTGTACCTATGCCCAAAATCCTCTCAGTCTCACCACCAAAGCGTGAAGAACTTGATGATGTATTGGCATTTTTATACATTGGTCCAACTAAGCCTACACCTGAGGATTACAAGCATACACCATCTTTAATCAGGCATAACCGTGTGTTAGCTGCATTGGAGCGGCTCAAGCTTAATCACTGTGACTACATGGATGTTGAGATCTCTAAGGACAATATGGCAGAGTATCCAGAAGATGCTCCACCTGCGAATGTAGACTATCATGAAGCACAGGCTATAAAAGATGCAGAATCTATGGCTGTAAATGATAATAAGAAAGAGAATGGAACAAGTGAAGGAAACTGCCCATTTACTGTCCATACCTTGACTTCTGACCAGCCTACTGACTTGCTCGGCAGAGATGAGCGTGGGTGGGACTATCAGGAATAAGGCTTTGAAACACTTCAAGCAAGGTGGAAAGGCATTGGCTATTGCTCACAAAAAAGATCCAGAGAGTTTGTAAGATAATCCTCAACTATATACACAGATGTTTCCCTGGCTCTTTCCATATGGTCTAGGTGGCCTTGGCAATAAAAAAGGCAGCAAGCTGTGTCTGAAATGCTTTATAAGAAGCACTTACTTATGTACCATGATAAGAGATTCCAGATGGATCCATACTTTCCCTTGATTGCATTTAATCATGAGCAGATTAAGAAGGCTACTACTGGAGGTTATTTGCTGGCTAACAAGGATAACTTTAATCAAATCTCTACTTGTCTACTCAACACCAAGGACTCTGTGCTTACAGAAATGATCGAGAAGCTTGAGAAAGGCCTTGTAAAGACTGATGACTTGACACCAGAACAGTAAGAGTGTTATAAAATTATTAATGATATAGACTACATTGGAGCACATGTACCTGCATCTAGAACAACCCACAAGCATGTGAGGAACCAGATCTGGTCCTTGACATCATATTTTGGTGCTCCAAGTTGGTTTATTACATATGCTCCTGCAGATATCAAGCATCCAATTGCCATCTATCTTGCAGACACCAATGAGAGAATCTTTCCTGCCAAGCTATCAGAGAATGAACGCTTTAGGCTTACCTAGAAAGGATAAAGGCAACAGGGAAGATTATTGCATGATTATGCTCACTCTGTTCAAACCCTGGCGCACTGGCAAAAATCTCAAGTAAGAACAGGCCAGCTGGAATGATACCTTTGGTGATCAATCATTTACTCCAAGACAATCAGAGCTTATGAGATTCTTTCAAGTGTGCTATGAGTGTAATGACACCAGAGATAATTATGCTGCAGCTAGAAAGAAGGGTCTGGCCTCAGGTGATATGCCATCTAATATAGATGAGGATATACAAGAGTATCTGGACAATATTTACTATGGTGTTGAATCACTTGACCAGCTTAGTAAAGAGCAGCTTACTGAGATAGCTGATAAGTATAAGGAATGGTCAAGGGGACATATTGCAAGACTGTCTAAGATGCAAGATGCTGAACGCTTATTACATACTACCGGGGCTATGGACAAGTCTAGTGAAGATATAAAGGCAAGAATCACACAGATTAAGGTCTAATCTTATCAGGAAAGGTCAGCACATGGATGGGAAGAGCTTCTGGCAAACAAGAGAGTGGATATTCTCAAGGCTAAGCATGGTCAGACAAGTGAAGCTGTGAAGGCAAAGACACAAACTAATTCAGATGATATTAACACTGTTAAAATCATTGACAAGTCATACTTGGATGCCTCCTTTGTACCTCCATCTCCAGAGTCCAAGAAGCTCATTGATAATACTATCAAGAAGTTTACCTTGAACAGAGAGCAAAGGAGAGCCTTCTGCATCATTTCCAATCATGCTAGCAAGCCCTGTGGTGAACAGATCAAGATGCATCTTGGTGGCATGGCAGGCACAGGAAAATCACAAGTAATCAAAGCCCTTATCCATTTCCTCAATGAGCGCAATGAAGGCCATAGATTCTTGTATATGGCACCTACTGGAGCTGCAGCTTCACTCATTGGAAGATCTACTTATCACCATGTGCTGAGCTTCAGTGCCTATGATGGACAAGATAAATCCTCAAGCTATAGTTCAACATTTGCTGCTGTAGACAATCTGCATGGTGCAGAGTATATCTTCCTAGATGAAGTGTCAATGGTGGATAACAATGAGTTCTACAAGATATGTGAGCAGATGTGTATAGCCAGAAATAAGCGTGATGAGCCATTTGGAGGAATTAGCATTATTGTAGCTGGAGACTTTGCTCAGCTGCCACCTATAGCCTCTGGTAATGCCTTGGATGCTGGAAGTGTTACATCTGCCCCACGCTCTACAAACTCTGTACACAGCCAGAAGGCAGCAATTGGCAAGGCTCTGTGGCACCAGTTTACTACAGTGGTTATTCTGAAGCAGAACATGAGACAGACAAGTCAGACAGCAAATGATGGGAAGCTAAGAAAATGCTTGGAAAATATGCGTTATGTAGCCTGCACAAATGCAGATATTAAGCTGCTGAACTCAAGGATTGTAAAACGAGCAAATGGTAGACCCAAGCTGTCAGATCCCAGGTTTCACCATGTATCTATCATCACCTCATGGAATGCCCACAGAGACAAGATAAATGAAGTGAAATCTGTCCAGTTTGCTGAGAAAGCTGGGAAGTCACTCCAGGAGTTCTATAGCAATGACAAGTAGAAGGCAGA